GTGGTCTGGGAGGTGGTCTGGGAGGTGGTCTGGGAGGTGGTCTGGGAGGTGGTCTGGGAGGTGGTCTGGGAGGTGCGGGGTGTCTCTACGAGCACTGCGACGTGGCGGGAGCTGTCCAAGGTAGTGTCTCAGAAATGTCCAGGTAGTGCCTGGGAACTGTAGTGTCAGGGAAGTGTCCAAAGTAGTGTCTGGGAAGTGTCCAAGGAAGTGTCTGGGAAGTGTCTCGCTCCTCCACGGCGACGGACAAGTCCGACGAGGCGATGACGAGCTCAGTGAGCGGCGCCTGACGGTCGGTGGACCAGCCGCAGGGTCAGCCGTCGGGCGTGTGGTAGGCGATGACGAGCTCAGTGAGCGGCGCCCCCATGCCGCGCAGGAGGGAGAGGAGCGCCTGGTGGAGCCATGGCCGCCACTGAGTACTGCTGTTCGTATCGCTCCCCCCCCCCCTCCTCCTAGCGGTGCGGGGGGAGAGGAGCCTCTGCGTCGCGTGCTCCGCCGAAGCGCGGACTTGCGAGCCAGAGAGAGCGCAGCGCCGCCCGACCAGGGGTAGAGGAGGAGGAGGAGGAGGAGGAGGAGGCAGAGGTGGAGGAGGAGGCAGAGGTGGAGGAGGAGGAGGAGGTGGCGGAGGAGGAGGAGGAGGCGGCGGCGGAGGAGGCGGAGGGGGCGGAGGAGGAGGCGGAGGCGGAGGCGGAGGCGGAGGAGGCGGAGGCGGAAGAGGTGGCGGAGGAGGAGGCGGAAGCGGAGGAGGGAGCGGGTGCGGGCGGGTCGTGTCGGCGGAGGGCGAGGAGGGAGGTGGGGAGGGGTCCCTCGATGGAGAGCTGCGCTAGCCGCGGCAGCAGCAGCAGCAGCGGCGGAGGGAGGCGGCCGGACGGCGCTAAGTGCCGCTCAGCGACGGCGCCTGGTATTCATTACGGCGACTAGTGAGAACGGGCTCTCTGTGCGTGTACAGCGCGGCTGCCTCTCGGCTGCCTCTCGGCTGTCTCTCGGCTGCCTCTCGGCTGCCTCTCGGCTGCCTCTCGGCTGTCTCTCGGCTGTCTCTCGGCTGTCTCTCGGCTGCCTCTCGGCTGTCTCTCGGCTGTCTCTCGGCTGTCTCTCGGCTGCCTCTCGGCTGCCTCTCGGCTGCCTCTCGGCTGTCTCTCGGCTGTCTCTCGGCTGTCTCTCGGCTGTCTCTCGGCTGCAGATATCGCGGCAACCGCACCCGACTCGGCGGCGGCGAAGCGGACCAGCTCGCCGCACCTGTAGGTGTGAGCAGCGCATCTCCACGCCTCCTGCTCCGTGCGTGCGTGCGTGTGTGCGTGTGTGTGTGTGTGTGTGTGTGTGTGTGTGTGTGTGTGTGTGTGTGTGTGTGTGTGTGTGTGTGTGTGTGTGTGTGTGTGTGTGTGTGTGTTGCTCCAGTGGGACCCGTCCCTCCGTCTCGCGGTCCGCCCCACCCCACACCGCCCAACGGCCAGGTCATCCACAGCGACGGTCTCCAGTGGCTGGTGACACCGCGCCTACCCCTCTCTAACTGACTCACCAGCACAGAGCCTTGCCCAGCTCGGCGTGCGATCTCGGGTAATCTCGGGTAAGCTATCTCGGGTAAGCTCACCAGCACAGAGCCTTGCCCAGCTCGGCGTGCAGCGGCGCCAGCTCCGCCGTGCAGAGGTGCAGCGGCGCGACGTTCATCGCCTGCGAGGAGGCGGGAGGAGGAGGAGGGGATGAGACGGAGGAGCTACGGATGAGGCTCTGCCGCCGTGCCCCTGCGAGGCGGGAGGAGGAGGAGGAGGAGGCAGCTGCTGGGTGGGCGAGGTGATCGCAAGCATGCCATTGGCTGGGTGTACGGGCTGCAATCCCAGCGCTGATGGCATGCTGCCCTCGCGCCTCGTATAGGTCGAGCTCGAGGTAGAAGCTCCGCCACGCCGCCTGCGAGCAGTGACGCGATCTCCGCTTCGGCGCCTTCGGAATCGCATCTACCCTTGGCCTCGTCTCTAGCTGGCTGCAACGGGATCAGGCTCATGGAGCGGGCCTTCGGGTCTACTGCTTCTAGCTCTACGGCGTTTGGTGGCCGTGTGACGTACCTGCGGCGCGGCCGCGCGCGGTCGTCGCAGCAGCTTGACGTGCCGCGGCAGCTCGCTCAGCTCCGCCAGCCGGTGCGGCCACGCGGCGCGGTGCCAGGGCGGCATCTCGAGCGGCGCGCCGTCGCCCGCACGGAGCGGCGGCGTCGCACGAGACCGCTCCGGCCAACGGTAGTCGCACGCGTGCCGCCACATCCCCTCGCTCCTCGCGATGTGATCCCACGCGGCACACGCGCGGCAGGCGGCGACGAGGTCCCACGGGCCGAGGCGCCGCAGCACGTGAAGGCTCAGCTCGCTCGGCAGCCTCGACGTGTAGTTCTGCTCATCCGGGCGGGACATCGGCGAGACCTGAGTTGCCCGCGGTGGCGATGGGCGCATTTATGGAGTTGCGAGGCGTCGCGGCGAAGGCTGTGCGGCTGCGAGCGACCGGGCGAAGCAACGGCTCGAGCCGGTGTGGGGACCCCATGAAACAGCACGAAAAAAGAAAGTATTCCTAATCAGCATGTCTCTCGTCGTCTCTCTGCTCCTCGCTCGGCCGGGCGGCGGCTCGGGTGGTGCGGAGGCGCCGCCGCTGCGCGTGCGCGCGCACGAGGCGGCGCTGGAGCACGCCTGCTGTCGCCGCCATGAGAGTTGGTTATTGAGTGGGATCAGCTCCCCCCCCTTGGGATCGAAGCCGCCACAACCTCACACCCAACATCCCAGGCGGGATCATCTCTCTCTCTCTCTCTCTCTCTCTCTCTCTCTCTCTCTCTCTCTCTCTCTCTCTCTCTCGCGTGTGAAGCCCCGCCTTGTCGATCGAGATGAGCGCGCCTGAAGCTCGCCCACCACAAAAATAGAGAATCATGTCCCGTCGCGATGAATCTCCTTGCACACACACGCTCCACCCCACTCATGCTTATTGTTGCTCACATTCACATTCACATCGTTTCGATTTGTGTGTTTTGCCCACACACGCAGGAGTGGCGCGAGTTTTGATGTCCCTCCCGGCAATAGTGGCCCACCCCAAACACAAGCTCCTCCCTACTCGCCGCGTCCAGCCTAGCCCTTCGCGTCAAGCCTCTCCCGGTCTCTCCCCTCATGTGCTGATCAGTGAGGACCTCTGCATGGGAGGACCTTCGCAGCTCCACCCCGTGAGGACCTCTCCATGAGGACCTCCGTGACACACCGATGACCAGAGTGATACCCTCCAGCGGTTTCCTGCAGGGATGTGTTGGCTTGTCGCCGACCCGTGAATCAACACACTGTGCAAACCATGTCCTCACTGTAACAGAGAGGTCCTCAGTTCCTCACGACACGGACAAAGGTCCTCATCCGAGAACGTGAGGACCTCTCCTCTCCTGGCCGCAGAGCCTGGCTGCCCGCAGGGCCCTGAAAATAAATCACTATCGATGTATCTCCCCATGTCACAGGCCGCAAACCGATCCAGTATCCGCGTCCTGTTGACTTGATCTTTTTCTCTTTCTTTCCAGGAAAATCGACGAGTGTGAGAACCCCTACACACCAGGAGCCCCAATCCTTCGATTCTGTCGGAAATTCAGTCGGAACCGTCCATGATGGTGGTTGCACCCCTCGCGATCGCTCCGCTCGTCGCAGCGCTGCTGGCTGGCGCGCTCGACCCGCAGGTGATCGACGGACAGGTCGTCTCGCTCCCCTCCCACGGTGTCGCCTTCCACGCCGAGTGGCTGCGAGAGCGCTGCCAGACGGGGACGGTGTGCGTTTGCGAGGAGACGCTCCAGCCCAAGAAGAACCCGCACGAGTTTGACACGCCGGCTGTCGAGACGGCGTCCATGGTCGGCGACGAGCTTCGGGTCTCGTTTGCCGACGGCGTCACCTCAAAGTACGCAGTGGACCGCCTCGTCGCAGAGCAACGAGGCTCGAGCGAGCTGGAGCCGCGGATGCTGCAAGTGGAGCAGTACGGGCTGCCCGAGGTGCTGCTGTGGGACAAGAACCTCACCGCGCCGCCGGTGGAGCTGTTCGACGACCTCGTCTCCGACGATGCCACGCGGGGCAGGACGCTCGACCAGCCTGCTCAGCGTGGGCAATAATCAATTGAGAGTCAACGGCTGCTTTCTCAATATGGCAATAGGATGCTGGCCAACCTGCTCAGCGTGGGCGTCTCGCTCGTGCGTGGCGTGCCGACAGAGTTTGGCGAGTGCGCAAAGATGGCCAACCTGCTCTCCACCCTCCGCCCGACCGAGTGGGGGACGCAGTTCAACGTGCGCGCTGTGCCAGACTCGCAGCAGCCGGGCGGCGCGGTCAAGAAGGACCTCGCGTACACGCCCTTCCCGATCGGCATGCACACCGACAACCCGTACCGCGACCCGACGCCAGACTTCCAGCTGCTGCACGCCATCGAGCAGTGCTCCTGCCCCGAGGGTGAGGGCTGCGACTGCTGCACCTCTGCTCACAATTCAATTCCTGTTTAATGAATACCTAGGCGAAGGCGCTCCCTGCGACTCCTGCACCGTGATGAACCACTTCGTCGACGGCTTCCTCGCCTAGAAGCGGACGGCGCACCACTCTATCCCATATCTCCCCATATCTCCCATATCTCCCCATATCTCGGGCCTAGAAGCGGAAGACATACCCCAGTATTCCAGCCGAGAGGTCACGGGTTCAGCTGCATTCGATCGTGTTCAGCTGTACTCTTGTCGCTCGAAGTCAAACGGCGCTCTGAAGACTCTGCGCAGTACCGCCCTCCCGCCCCGAGGTTGGCGTACTCAGCTCGCAGGTTTCCACGCCGTCCAGTTGCTACCGCACCACCCACGGGACCGAACCCACGCTGGATTCGATAACCCTGGAGGTATGGCACACGCAGGCTTCCACGTCGTCGAGCAGCTCGCGCGCGACGACCCCGACGCCTTCACCCTCCTCGCCACCGTCCCCGTCCGCTTCGAGAACAACGGCGGCGACAACTCCTCCGCCCTCTGGTACCACGTGCCCCACCTGCAGCTCCACCCGGAGCACCTCGTCCCAGGGGCACCGCCCTGCCTCGGCGCACGCTGCGTGCGCGCCATCCGCTTCTCGGCAAAGTCGGGCGGCTTCGCGCCCGGCGCTCTGCCACACGAGACGCTCTCTCGCTTCTACGCGGCGCGGCGCCGCTTCTCGCGGATGATCCACGACCCGCAACACACGGTCTCGCTGCAGCTCCGGCCGTGAGGCGCTCGCGTGTGTGAACAGCGCCTCTTCACGCGCCCGCAGCTGAGAGCAGGTCTCGCTGCAGTTCCGGCCCGGAGATCTCGTCGTGTTCGACAACCAGCGGCTGCTGCACGCCCGCTCCGCCATCGCGCCGACCGACGGCCAGCGGCTGGTGCAAGGCTGCTACCTGAACCGCGACGGCGTCGAGCTCGAATCGGAAGTGCTCTTTTTGTTTGAAGGGCGTAGGCACGGAGATTTCTGTCGTTAGGCGTCAAGCTCAACTACGAGAGGCTGCGCCGCAGGGGGCCGGGCTGAGCGTAACTGATTAATAGCGAATCATCAACTAATTAACAAGTCAGGCTGCGCCGCAAGAGGCCGGGCTGGACGAGCATCCGCGGCGCCGCGGCCGCCGATTTCGAGCTGATGGCGCGCGAGTACCAGCGGGAGGTTGTGGAGCGGATGCCCGAGCGCCTGCTCGCCCTGCTCGACAGCCAGAAGGGAAGCTCTACGCCCAGCGCGCCGGCCCGCGGCGGCGGGCGCCTCTTCACAGCGGCGGGGTGTGAACAGGGGCCCACCTCGGCCAGCCCGTCGACTTGTACACGCACGGAGTGCAGACGGCGAGCCGCGCGATGCGGGCGGGGGAGGGGGAGGACCTGGTCGTCGGCGCGCTGCTGCACGGCGTGGCGGGTACTTCTCTGTTAGGCGGTGTTTCCTTTTTAGGTTGTCGCCGCGCTGCTGCACGACGTGACGGAGACGCTGCAGCCAAAGGCGCACGAGACTAGAGGCAGGATCCCCACCCGCACACAAAAGAGATTGGGAGCCCCCCCCCCCCCCCGCCCGCCCGCCCGCCCCCACTCGCCCTGCCGGGACAGGAGCGCCCCGAGATCGGCGCGCACATTCGCCTCTAGGCGCACGGCGAGTCGGTCGCCGCGATGCTTGCCCCGTACATCTCTCCGGAGGCGTGGTTCGTGCTCCACCACCACGAGGTCTCTTCCAGATCCGAATCTCGGCTGATCTCGGCTGATCTCGGCTGATCTCGGCTGGTCTCGCCTAATCTCTCGCGCCGCGCCACCACGAGGTCTTCCAGGGCTTCTACTACTACCACCACTTTGGCGGCGACCGCAACGCCCGCGAGGCGCTCTCGGGCACGGAGCACCCAAACGGAAATACCCGTGGCTAAAAAGGAAATATCTCTGTCTAAGGCGCTCTCGGGCTCGGAGCACTACGCCGCGGCGGTGCGGTGGAACGAGTACGACCAGGCCGCCTTCGACCCCGCATACCCGAGCCTGCCCCTCTCCGCCTTTGCGCCCGCGCTGCGCCGCGTGCTCGGCCGCGACGCCTTCTGGTGGAACAGCTCGCACCTCAAGAAGCTCGCCGTCACGGGCAACGCCGGCGTGGGGGCCGCCACCGCCGGCGGCAGCAACGACACCCGCCTCGGCGCGGCCTGCAGCACGGCCTCGGCGTGAGCTGCAGGCAAGCGCTCTCTTGCACACACTTCCAACTTCCTGTACATTTGCCAGCGCTTCCTCTCGCTAATAACGCTATAGCGATGGTGTACCATCTAGGGTATGCGGCACCCAGAGTTCTATATCTGACGTACATGTAGCTACATTTGATGTCCTGACTCCTGTGTGTTTTCATTCTTTTACCAACGGAGCGGAGGCGCGGCTTGCGAGGGTGCGGGAGAGGCTGCACGCGGCGGCAAGCTCTGCCAAGCCGAGGCTCTTGGTCCTGAACGGCATCGGCGGCGGGCTCGGCATGTGCGTGCCGCTGCACGGCAAAGACAACGGAACGAGAGGGACAACCACCACCTGGTGCTCCGGAAAAAAATTGCTTTAGAAGAAAAACGAGCACGCATAGTCTCCCCCCTCCATTCTTTCCCCCTTGGCGCGGGCGCCCCACTCCCCCCAGCCCCTGTATCGCGTACTAGCTGTGGCTACCGTAGGCCACACTTGCGTCGCCGGGGGTTCCCTGCCCTAGGTGGGAAGCTGGCCGCTGATCCGAAGACCGACTGCACCAGGGCTTGCTGAATGCGCGGGGCGAATGAGTGATGAAGTTAGTGCCTTGGTGCCCGTTCCCCATGGTGGCTTCCCCTGGTCTCGCGACCATGAATGAGAGCTCTCACTCCCAGGGTACTCCCGCGTATCTCGGCTCCCTTATCCCCCCCCTCTTCCCTCCCCTTTCTCTCACCGAGATGACCCGTGCTCTACGTGCCTAGGTTCGGTCCTCGGGGAGGGGGGATTGACGGTGTGTCCTCGCGAGTTTTTTCGCTGGACGCCCGACAGTTTCGATTTCCCTCCTTAGCGCCCCGGGTAGAGCGTGGTCTCCCCTGGAGCCTGCCACGCCCGTTCTGTCTAAGCCCAGGGTTCAGCTTTCCAGTTGATCCTTATCGGACTGGTGAGTTCCTTCTCGCTGTCAGTGTGACGCCCCGGCAGTCATTGGCAGCGGTGCTATACACACTACGCCATTTTTCGTTTGACGTTTTCG